AAGCCAGATCATATCCTATGGGCGCGCACCTTCTGTTCACAATTTGGTACACTTAGGTTCTTGGCTGAAAGTACTGTCCCACTAACCACAAAAACAAGTCAAGCAACTTCACGTCCGTCTCATCCAACCTCTGGTGGAGGTCGAAAATTTACCGAATACCCGGATTGGTCACCATTAGTAGTTTCAGGCTGATTGATTGGTAATATGGTTTTAAATGAAACTATCACACTGTCAGATAGTTTAGGCGTAATTTTCGATCACTCGGTACACATAGTTGAGTGCTTGTCTAAACAGCATAATGAAATTAGGAAACATCTTCATTTCCTTATGGAAATCGTAAAATGATCAGGTCAGTTTCCGAGGTCACTTACTTCGTGAATTATCTCCTTGAGTTCTAATATCGATGTCATGGCAATCTTCGTAGAATTTTAGAAGAGTAGCCACAACCCACACTTAATGATGATGACGATGGTGATATTAATGATGAAAATCACAAATCTAGCGAGCGCTTCCTGGCGAAACGTCACCTATTGGAAATGACCAGAAGACCAGCTGGCCTCACACAACGATCGATGCAGGTTGGTTTCCTTAGATTTCGGTGAAAACATTGAAACTTTTTTTCAAATGAGAACAGCTGAGTAACTTCTGAGTTGAGTAATTTCTACGGTTGTATGGATGCTACATGCATTAAAACAGTATGATTTCCTACCTCCATGTATCATTAAACCTAGCACTATCAAGCACACACAGAAGTGGTTGATCTACGGGGTGCACTTACCCGATAATAGGCAATCAGTTCAAATATATGTCTGCGTTCATCTAGCAAAAATAAAAATATTATGCCGGAGGGTTTCAGTGGTCGTTTAGCCCTTCAGACAGCCACTTTGATGTCACAAGATGGATGATTCCGCGTGCGAACATACCGTATCAGCACACTCAAGGAGAAAAAGGCAGCTACACGGGCACAGAATGTGTTCGTTTATCTGCTTTGATTACTGTGCGGTTGTATCGTCCCGATTCAGAAGGTCAGACAAGTATTTATGTGATCGTAGCAGCGACAAAGCTGTTACAAATATACGAAGAAACTCAAAACTTCTAGCTGTTTTCTTTTTGACTCGTTAACCGACTGACAAGATCTACAACGCTGGACTTTTCTAGCAGGCTGTGTGGACAGCTGGGCCACCATGAAAAACGGTCTATTTGAGACTAGCCATGAAACATGTGTTGTTTTAAGATAACTTGCCTTTGATTTTTAGTGTACATATGAACTTTCTACGGGACACACAATTCAGAAGCTTGTCGAAGGCTCTTCGACAACCTGTGATCGGTTTTACCTTTCTTAGAGTTCATCAGTCCCCGAGTTTTCGTTAGACTTACGTCTGTTTTATAAAATCTATCCGCGAGATTTGAAATGTCGCAAGTAACCTAGTTTTTGTCCCATTTGACCGTGTTTGCGACAAATCATACTGTTCACTAGCACAGCACTTGGTGTTCCTAAAGGTTCGTCCATTCGTAGACTGACACAGCTCCATTGCCTTTAATAACTCGTGCTTACCTATAAAAGTCTGGTCACGAAATGAAGTTTGTTGGGTAGAAAGCAATTGGTGTCAAGTCTCACAACGACTAGTCTAACTCATGCTCACTGTTGAAAGGCCACTGAAACACTGATAAGCTGTACTTGTCAGGTTCTCATAGGAACTTACGGTTATTCTAGGTACTTGACGTTCAAAGCCGTTTTTGGTTAATTACAAGTTTTAAATTTTACAAAACATGCATGAATATCTCAAGCGAAGTTTTTCACTCTGGAAGGTGGAGTTTTTTCTGTGTCCCCACAAAATCGTCTGACAGGATATTAATTAGGTGGCAGATTGTCTACTCTTAGGGCATGTTCGAAGCGAGAAAACCAGAACTGGTGTACGATTCTTGGCTAGTCCAAAGCCTTGCTCCAGTAACGACGCCTCATCTTCGTGTTACAAGGATATTTGGTTGCGTGATAAGGTGTCTAATAAAACATTTTAATGTAATGTACCAAACACTTGTTCACTTCATGTGTGTTTGCGATAGGCGGTTATGTTCATATTTTACACACTTGTAAAGATCCTACTCCTTAATCAGGTAATTCTGGTGTCAGCACAATGCACTTGGTAGTCTACGGGACTGGTTCGGCAAAATACACCACATATGGGGAAGTGCTAAGTTGTGGGGGTGCTAAATTATGCGTCCCATATTTTAAGTTAACTAGGGGATGACGATAAACCACTTTTCTGAAGAGGACAGATATCAAGAAGGCAACAACCGGCGGTTGCAATAAACGCAGGGCTTATTGAGTTTTTGCCGTAAATTTCTGTAGAACCAAAGTATAGTCCAAGCAACATACCCACTGTCAGCTAGAAGAACATCACCTTCCATATGATTCAGAATTTACAAGCCTACCCAATAGATTTAGTTGGTATTTTCACTATGTACGGTAAAAATTCGGTCCCACATTTGTTGCAAATCACAAGAATCAATGTTAGTTTATGTTTCGGTGCTGTACGGAACTTATTGGCTTCTAACAAAGGCTGAATTCGCCAATGCTGTGTCTGCTTATAGCTGTGTAAGACATACCGAAAAATTGCAAACAGACTAACACCAGTGAAACAAATTGAAGATCTTCAAGGTGTACCATTTTTATCTGTAGTAATTAATTTTGAAAGAAACAAAGCGAAGGAGAGGTTTTTGCAAGCAGAATTAGATATAAACTGTCCCTTTCCCTGCATCACCCGTTCTCAATAGACCCATCTTCTCTTCTCCACCCCGTGATTTCATTCACTAACTTGGCTTAACTTGAGAGGGTCATGACTGCGAACAAAAGCTGATCATCGCTTACCTAAACCAGTAAGCAGCTTGAGATGACGCTTACTGTCGTTTTGCTTACCAATGAAGATTGCAATAAGCCTTTGATTCTTGTTAGACGCTACCCAGAGGGATTGGTCCTGGAATTTTCCCTAAACTTTTTATCGGGAAATCCATGTTATTCACTTCTGTGGAGTTAAAATGTCTTCCTCTCATGATAACAATGGAGTTCTGTATACCACCTTTCATTTGACCTAGTGTTTTTCACCTATCAAGAACGTAGTTAATAACAAGTGCTGATGAGCCGGAGATGACTGACTGGAGATTTCTGACTGGAAGTTTGTTAGTTTGAACCTAATCCCGGTATCTTGACCAACCCTGTCCAGGCTCGGGTTATCTAGCATTACCTTACACGTCGTAATTTCCTCATGCGACAGGACCTCCAGGCAACGAATAGCTGAAAGATCATTATTTATGTGAGTAGTGATCGTGGACATTGAGATACTGGCCTCTTAACTCTAAACCATCAATGATCTGTAAACAGCTGTCACTGTTCTACTCAGTACTCCATGGCCTCACAGTTCGTGATAGGGACAAGATGGTAACTCACTCTGCCACCTGATACATAAGTTCACCTCAACATTCTATTTATGACGGGTAAAGAAACCTCAGGGAAATCTGCTTACATTCACTTCACCAGACGAATGCACTCAGCTCTCGCAGTGAAGTAAAAGACGTGTTTAGAACCTAACAGGTAACCTAAGGTAAATCGACGTACACCTGACGTTTGCACTCCATCCCGAATAGTTTTGGTAGATCTGAATCTGTGCATCTGTGTGTATCAAACTCTTTCGAGTGTGTATGGCCTTGTACTTTTTTGCCAAACTGCTGCTGAACCGCTTGCCCCTGTCTAACTTAGAAGTTTGTATTGGGAATGTGCTAGCTCTGCGGCGTTTCTGACGGTTTTATTCAACGCCACCAAGTTCTTTTCTACCTATCACCGATATCTCCTACTCCGTTTTTGATTAGTACCTTCACCTCATCTAACAGTAATTTTTGGGTTTTGGTTCATCTAAGATTAGTGACACCCCTGTGCAAAGAAAGAGCATTAAGACAGTGCAGCTTTTTCTTTCAAAACCAGGCTGAATTCTGCCTCTTGTCCTTTATCCTACCAATGATGTTACCGTTTCGTCTCGTGTATCCCTACTCTGCAACTGCGATCCACTATTATCAAAGAATCACCCTCGACCCTCTTGGGAGAAACTCCAGATGCTAAAAATTGTGTTTCGCTCCGGTGTCCTGAACCTTTTCCTTTCAGCCTCTCATACAAATCACACTGTTGTTCCGTTACGAGTGTGCGGATTGAACTTGTACTCTTATTTTGCATATTTTCGGAAGGGAAATCATTCTACTGTCTCTCTTACTTGACGAATAGCTTCCAACCTCTCCCCAATGACCGGATAGATATTCTATTCATTCATTTTCATCTCTACTAGAACGGTAGTTAGTGAAATACACTCGTTTGCAAACAAATTTGGTTTTTCGAGAGATTCACCTGGAACCCAGCTGAGTCTCTCGTTGATGGTTTATCAAAGCAACTGAATGTGCTGCACCAGGCCGCCTCATGTTTCAGTTGGTACGGTATTCGAACTATCGCGATACAAGTATAGATGTAATACACTACTCATAAGGTTGCTGAATTATGGCTCAGATAGTTTTAAAAAAGGTGGTCTTGGTAGCCTTATTTCGCACCAGAAGGGAACTACCAGAGTTTTCCTCTTATTAGCACATATAAGTTACCCGGAACTGAAATTTCGCTTTTTGACATATCGGGAAAGCGAGTTACCATATCAATACTACCATACATTGAAAGTATCCGAATTATGGCTTATGAAAGTATGGACGAAGTCTCTTAGTTAGCAGTATTTGGGTCGATAGCTGAACCAAGAATGCAATAAATGCGTTGCTTGCGCGACTGATGACGCGCTTGTTAGGACTCCCCGGGGTGGGTGAGTGGAATTGTGATCCAAGATCAGGACACTGACATCGCCAAGGTGAACTGTCCATCATATCCGAAATCACAAAAAAGATGGACCGTTTTGGTGCATGTGTTAATATGAATGAGAGAGAACTACACAAAAAGCACTGAGCCTATAAGAACCTACCAGATAGAACACATATATTCCTCTTTTTCCCGCGCAGAAAGATAAATGAAGATGTCTTCCGGAAATCCGCCGGGACTTGTGTCCATCTTGACTGTTGGCTCAGCTGAATCAGACGTGATTTCCTCATCGTTAGTGTTCAGTGCTGAGTCCACTGGTTCCGGTCTAGGGGACCAGGTGGGTATCCTGGGTAGAATCCGAATTCGCTCCTGTCTGTCGCGAAATGAATCTGGCCTACTTAATCCTAGCAAACTTCCAGCAAGATCATTAAGACCCGGTCGAAACCGCAGGTTGTTTATACCTGCACTGGGTGGTGGACAGTCAGCATCAACAGCCGTTTCACTGTCAGCTTCTGATCTGCTGGGCATATGAGCCAGGAGATTATCCAAGAATGAGTATATTCCAATGGCCATCATTGTCTGGTGTTCGTAAAGGCGGTTTAAATCATCCATAACTCCCACGTTTCCAGATAATAAAAAAATTCAAACTGTGAATTCAATGTGTGATCCAGTGCCACCAAGATATCCGGAGCAAAAACGTTCCTTGTAACATGCGAAGCAACAAAATTCGATCTTCTTTGACCTGGCACTGGACCTTCCAGTAGCGAAAGGCTTTACCAAAACTTGGCAGAACATTGGCACGTCATTGGTTGTGCATATTTTCATTGATTTAGATGACCGGCGTGTGAGGTTTAAACGTGAAAATCGATGGGTTTCTCAGCTGGTTTTCCCTAAGGCTGAATGTGATCTACCTACACACGCGTCGCATCATCACGCATGCAAAGGTCGCCAAGTACTGACTAGACAATCGATGAGGTCCGTAAGTTGGCCACCAACTGCTCTCTTTGGTTGCTACGCGCGTTGTTAAGGCTAGCAGTAAACAGTCGCTGATTGGT